TAGTAGTCTCACGGTAGTGCCTCCTCATGTCTTTGTCAGATGTCATTAAGATTCCCAGCAGTGTTTTGGTCTCATTTGAGTTTGGTGTATAACACAGCAACTGTGAATCAACATTATGGAGTCAATTTATATTGCACAACAAGAAAAAGGTTTATGAAAGCATTTGTAACCCCTCTATTACTGGAAAGCTTTTACTGTGAAGCAAATGCTGACAATGTTACATTAGCCACCAAGGGCCAACTCCTTGCTTGACAGAAGTTGGTATAAAAATTCTGCTCCGAAAAGTGTAGATAATGAGAGTAGATAAAAACACAGTTAGACTCATATCTGCTAGACGATCAGTAACTCTATAAAGGAAGTCAACAGAAGTAAATCCAAATGCCAAATAACAGCAATTCCTACATTACATCCAAACCTCAAGCCTGATGCCAATATTGTTATGTCAAGAGTCTCTCAGCTCTCTCTCTCTCTCTCTCTGAGCCCTCTCCTTATCTCGCCCTCTCTCTACACTGCACAGGTAGACTGGACTGACTAAAAACGCAGCAGAAAAAAACCAAACATGATCTATTCTGCCACGTAGCTGTCATTCTGACAATAATGAGTAACCAAGGAGAGGAAACAAGGCGAGGACAAACGAACAAATAAACAATGCTTTGAATACTAAAGATTTAAATATCAACGTACTAAACACACTTTTTAATGTTTGAATGTTTAATGACTTAATTAACTTTAGAACCCTACCCAACACCACAGTTTAGAGCTAAAGTTTGTAGTGGCCAGGGCAAGACAAAGGGCAGTGAGGGAGAGCAGAAGTTGGTGAGATGAATACAAAATGCCACTTCACCATTTTGTCCATTTCCAGCTAAATAAGATCTTCCTCTGCCTCCTCCACCTCCTCTGCCACAGCCCCAGGCAGGCAACTGGGAAAGAACATTTCTCACATTATAACCCCTCAATATCTCTCCTGTGGCTCATTGGAAGTATGTCTGTCTGAGTCTGTGTGTGTGTGTGTGTGTGCGCGTGTGTGCTACTGTAAGTATGTGTGTCTAGCTCCCATCTGCTGTTACAGAATCACATTTAGATCTTCCAGACAGGGTGGGACCAAAGTTAAATGCTGGTGGACAAAATATTTAAAGGTTTATAGATAGTGGCAATGTCAATGACCAAGAAGCAAACTAATAATAGCTGGATACATTTCAGCTGGGTAAGTGATTGAGAAATGCTCTTTCTGTCACTCATTAGATAATGTAGAGGTGTCCTTGAGCCGGTCAGTGCCTAACAGCACACTGTGGCTATAATGGGCAGCTCCCTGGTGTAATTCTGTGAATGTGAAGCAAGGTATTGCTGAAAATAAGCACTGATGTCAGCAGACTGTCCCTGGGTAAAGACGCATTCATTAATGACTGGAAAATGGATGTTTTAAACTAACTCGCAACTGCTGAAGATATTACAGCTTGGCTTTATTTATCTAAAGGTTACTATAGTATGTGCCCCTCAAAGCCTTGATAGACAAATATCTTATATACACAAAAAGTACTGTCTGAGGTTTGTAAAGGAATCAAGTTTATCTATGGACACTGCATTAACCTTGTAAATATAATGGCCATTACCTGTATCTGCTTCCCTCAGATTGTTGTATTTTAATTTGCAAGAAATAAATGTATGAAAAGGATTTGAGAGTTGGGTCCGATACTGTGCTGATGTAATCATAAAACTACTCCGATACCACCGCACCCGATACGACCTTACGGCAACCTAACGTTAACCTCTCGTTAGTTGAGCAGGTAGGCGGAGGAGAAGCAATGCCAGCAGTTTAGAGATATTTTAGGATAAATGATGACGACAAAAGTGGAGCAGACTGCAAACTAAGCTCCGGCAAATTGTCAAGAGGACGGGTGAAAAATAGCTCCTTTAACACAAGTGAGGGACACGTGATGAAAATAAAACACGTTTTCAAAGTCATTGTTAGAACTGTAATGGTATTATAAAGTACTCAGATCGGTACACATTACCGGCAAGTACCCAAATGTAAGAACATACCTAATTTAAATTAAACTGGCATATGTACATATATGTGGTAAAGAAAAAAGAAAAAAAAAAGGTTTTACAGCAAAAAGGAGGGTAAATATGTCACTCAGTTTTTCATTCTTTCCCTCATTCAAATGCTTTTTTATCAGTGATTAATCTGTCTATTCATCAGTTTATTCTCCCACTTATATTCTTTTTTTTTCATTAATTCCAATATCTGTTCACCTGTCATGTATTTGCCCATGCATTCCTTCATTTATTCATTCCGCCTTTGTCACTCATTCAATCCTCTATTCATATGCTAAGTCAGCTGAGAAGAAAGGTGCAGATGAGGTGGTGCGGCAGTAATGTTACAACAGCACTGTAACTTCCTAAAGTCCTTGGTCTACAACAAGATATTAAAACAAACTACATCATCATTTTTGAGACAGACTCCAGCCCTGCCACACAGAGGGCACAAAACACCCTCCTGAAAGCCACCGCGTGGGCTATTCAGATACAGTGATTGTTACATTGATAAACGTTGGGACATGAATGCTGTACTTCTACTGTTTCTCATGATCACTGCGATGAAAGATAAAATAATTGCAGCCAAAATTGCGCTTGAGTGGCAAAATCGCGTCAGGGAGTATTACAAACGGTTGCATGTTTTGGCATCCGGTGGGCCTTTCAGTGCACTAATCTGTTACTTTAACTGGTCGTCCTGGATGGTTAACAAAACAACATGCCCACACCGCCACAGCCTCCTGCACTGCTTTACTGCACGGTTGTTTTCAGTCTGAAACCTTGCCAACAGTGCTGTCACGAGCCATGCCAGGGTTTCCCACAGGGTGTTAGGACTTTATTACCCAACTATGATGACTGCTTTTGACTGTGTGAAAATCTGAGTTTTTCTAAGTCACCGAGAAAAAAAACTTGAGACTTGACTCGCACACTTCCCTGTGTGAGACAACTGCTCCGCAGGTGAGATAGACTGTGAAATTGGACTGGAGCCATGAATAATACAGTTTGACAAACTAATATCGGTCTACGTGAGAGGGTTGAAAGCTCCAGAAAAGCTCATAAGTGGTTTTCAAGTTAATATTGTTTTGTCAAACTACCATTCTCAAGGTCAACAATGAATAGTGTAGTACTCGTCATAGTTCTAGGTAAGATATAGTAAAAAAAAAATCTAACAAACAGCAGGAATGACATTCAATTAGTACCACTATATGAATAGTATATAGTGGCTTTGATTTAAATTGTCTTAAAGGTCACAGCATGCATAACCACGTGAACATATGAGAGTAATAAGCACAGAGATTACTCCTGTTCTTGTTGGGGTTACAGATTTAATTCTTTCTTAGGCCTCCCACACAAAAACTACACACTCTTGTTGCTGTAAAACAGCTAGAAGCCAACCTATCACCAATAGTGTATATGCGTGTGCCATGACTATCATTAGCAAACAGCTGGGAATGCACAGTGATATCAGCACTTCATCGGTGTCCGCCGATAAAGGCTTTAAAAGGAAACATTGGCATCTGCAACTTCTTTCCGTAGGACAGGCCGATGACACTTGAATTATACCGTTAACTAGGCTGAATGCTTGATGCTGTGTTACCCAGTGCGAGCCAGAGATGATGTCACCAGAGGGACAAGCATGTCTGCAGTATGGACATCTTCTTATCTTAGGTTTCTGAAATGGATATGAGCGTTGCTATTTGCAATGATTGCTCAGCGTCAGTTAAAAACCCCCAAATCGGAGCATCCGTAAAAAGAGAGTACACTATGCCTAGCAATGTCCTTTCAGTTCGCTTTAATTGCCGTACAGTTTTATTTTCACATGATCCCGGTGGACAGAGATGACATTTATTTACTTAAAGTAGGTCAAATTTGCCCTGGTTGTTGTCGGATTGTCTCAGGGAAATCCTCTACAAAGCCTGCGGGATGAATTTGAATGTGTACATGTTACGTCTGTATCTGCAAGTAGGCCATCACAATAAGTGCAGGCATAGCAATATCCTAATTTCAATGCATGAGAGACTTGACATTCTCTGCAATTAGGTTGAAAAAATATGTGCATGTATTCGCAATTAGGCAAAATGAGCTGGATAATATCGGCATATCTGATATTGGCAAACATCTACCTACAACCAACAGCATATAGAAGTCACTTAAGTCGATTCATCACGCAGGTGAAAGGACACAGTATGAGAGCAAACAGCCCCTTCAGGCCAGTGGATGACAGACAAGCCACAAGCGTTTCCTGCTCACTTCCGTTTTAGCTGGAACCGACCTGCTGTCACTTCAGTAAAACAACCACATAGAAGTCACGTACACGGAAACCAGCAGCATCTAAAGGCTCTTCCGGAGGACTACAACACGCCAATGCAACTATATGTATATCAACCTATTGTGGTTATTGGGAGATTTTCTTTCAGCATCGTCTAACGTCACTGTTAAGTTACCGAGAACTACACCACAGCACTTCCTGCGCGTACGATTTTCAAAATAAAATTCTTATTGTCAAAAACGCTGCGCTGCTGTGGACTAACGTTGCCGAAGACAACCTCAAGTATCTCCCTCAAGGATTGTCATTGTAAACACGCAGGATATTTTAATAATGCTCCGAGACCAGAATATTTTAACATTAGAATACATATTAGCTTAGCAACATCAGCTACCCATGCATGTCCGCTTGTCATATTATGCACAAATAAAGCAACGTTTAGTCGTAAGAGGAAACATTCAACCACAATACGTAAAAACCACAACTTGTAAGTAGTGTATCTTGCATTTAAATGATAAAAGTAGCGTTTATTGTTCTCCAAAGACCAGAACCTGAGCGTCTCTCCGACACACTTCCGGTCTATTCTGACTAATCTTCACGAGCTTCACACACAAACCGGCAGATTCAACTTGCACACTCATTTCATTAAACAGCACAACAATATTCGCTGCAAAATACATTTAAGCGGTTGAAACGTTACCTCCTTCTTCTTTTGCCCACCCCCGGGCGGCAGACATAGCAGCAGGAAGAAGAAAACGGACAGGACCGGCAGGTGAGCGAAGGATTTAGCCCAAACAGACGCCATGACGGAAGGATGCTCTGACTGCGCGACACGTCTCAGCCGAGGGATTGGATTGTGAGTTGACCAATCAACGGTAAGAGATTTGAAGTGCGGAAGCCTCTGGGTTTTGTAGTTTTTTAGACTGACTTTACTTACACACTGCTATGTATTCACATCTGGACGACATACTTTTCATTTTAACTTTGGACGGGCATGTACTGGGAGAATTGTTATTATAGATTATAAAGGCGGTACCAATAGGTTATTTAAGGGTTGAGAAAAGGACATGCAAGCAATCAATTTGAGTCACGCTATTGCGGCAGTGTGATGATAAAGCAAACCAAAAAAAGCAATGGAAATCACTGAAAAGGTTATTTGTCACTAATTATTAGTTTAACTAAATACATGAAAAAGTAAATGAATACAATCAGACACAGCCTGAACAGTCTCAACATGGAATTTTCTTGTGTTTCTGGTTGCACTCCAATGTAGACAGGTTGTCGGCTGCTTGAAGACATCACCTGGACCCCTTAGGTTGACTGTTGAATTCATAGTGAGAACTAATTTGGATCTCTTGGCAGAAATAAAATATAATATTAATATGTATTTTTGCATTAGTGTATATTAGAGTATAGGAATTGTTGTGTTTAGTTACCTTAATTGAATAAAGAGTGAGCCTACTTTACTGCAGTCACGCTGTCTGTTATAACCAACTTCAAAAGTGATACACACGCAAGGTTCACACTGTGCTGCTAAAGAGTTACTGATTCCTTTTGTTCTCGTTTGTTCTCTAATGCTGCACCTTCATGTATCAGAATATTTGCGGACAGGAAATGAGGCACAGATAGATATTTGTGTGTAATGATTATTATCAAAATGTGTCATATCAGTGATACCTCATTTATAAGTATGATTTATTGATCAATGAGTAATATGTCTTCTTTTTATTTTATTGCAAATAATTTTTGTTATTTTGAAGTGAATATTATGTATTAGTATATTTTTAATTTAGATACATATTAGGCTCATGCGCTTATTTATCTTTTCAACAATTTTGTGCAACTTCCTTGAATCTGTGGTTTGTTAGTATTTTTTTACTCATGACCTCACTATTTCTAAAATCAGGTCACGTTCCATGGAGTCCACCATGTTGAACCACCATATTTCTACAGTAGCCCAGAACGGACAAACCAAACAGTGGCTCTAGATAGGGCCTTTCATGTTTTTTTGTGAGTTTCACAGCCACCGTAGTTTCTTCTGCACACTTTTCAGGTTGCCAAACACAGGTGTTCAGTTAGTTACAGTCTCAATGCTAGATGGCAAAATATTCTACACACTGTTCCTCTAATCAAGCTTATAGGGCTCTCCAAACCATATCCACTGTCAGATATATAATTATATGAATGTTCATTGGAAGTCAGAAGTCCCTATACAAGATTATCAATATTATTTTAATCCACATGCTGCCATTTTTTAAATGTAGTTCTTCAGTTTGTTATTTTTCCATTGGGGATGTGTTTCGGTCTCACTTGAAAATCTCGCCCTAATTAAGTTACTGCTCTGCAGTTTGGGGTACTATTTCAATCAGTAAAGACTTAATTTTTGAAAGAACAAATATATTTATATGTGAAATGTGAAAAGTATTTGCTGACTATACACCATCATATTTGAAGGAGTTGCTGAAGCCGTGATTAGTATAGGAAACCCCCGATGGAATCTAGACACTGGTGGTGGTGGTGATGAAGGAATGAAGGGAATGCTGAAGATCTGGATGTGATGAGGAGTAGACTCCTGATGAGCTCAACCTGGGCACTGGATATGATGAACTGTAGGTGAATGGGGTGGAGGAGGATCGCAATCAGTTCACACTGTAATGATGGCTGAAAGCAGCAGAGAGGAGCACAGATTTATAGTCTGATGGCAGCAGCATGATTGGCTGGAGTAGATTGTGGCTAAATCTAATTGGATAACTGAAAGAGTACCCGCCAATAGCTGATTAGAGGAGAATGAGAGAACTGTGAATGAATGAGGCTTAATGAGAAGGTCTGACTGCTTGAACTTACCTGTAGCTTCATTTGTCAAAGGTGTGGATGAACATCTGAACCAAGGACTGCAGAATTTCTCTCTCTCATATGTTCTGGGAGTGGTGAGAATGTCGCAGACACTGGATAGACTTAATTAAGGGGGACATATGATTAATGTGAAATCAATGTCTCCCTATGAAATTACACCTGAGCACTTACTGACTAATATAACTAGCTCTGTAGCTGTGTAAAACTTTTCATACAGAAGTGGTGACTATGTTTATTTTTTTAATTCTGTAATTGATATATGCAGATGCTATACCTTAATGCAGTTAATGCAACAGCTTCATTACTTTAGCACACTCTCAGCAAAAAAACAAAAAACAAAAAAAAAAAAAAAACAACAACAAAAAACATTAGGCCTGTAAAGGATATTGTACTGGATTGCATTACATTGCACATAAGTTTCTACTTGGGTGTCTTACTTTTTGGCTCTGACCCACAGGCAAGGGAGAGGAAGTAGCTAATCCAGTTTACTTTGCTGCATTCACTCTCTCTATAGTGTAAAAAGGCTTTCTGTCTGTCTTTTAGATTGCATGCTTACTCAGGTGGTACAGACTCTATTGACTCAATTCAGCACTCATAATACTACTTTCAGGAGGTAAATAGTGTTAAAAATGCACTAATGGACTTGTTCATCTTAAATAATAAAAATACAAACCAAAAAGGGCATTTTCTTTCATTCTTATTTGTCAATGATTAGTTTCCATAGGAACTTGTGATTCAGCATGCAGAAGCACAATTCAGAAATGCATTGTTTTGCAATACAATACGAGAATGCAAAAAACATACAAAATATTGCAGGAAACACCCCACCAATACATGTAGGCTATTATACAACTGCCTAAACTTGGATTACACAATCAATATAATGGGACATTGAGGTAGATATCGTGGCAGATTGCAATATGTATACTGATATGTCACAGCAAAAACAATCAGTGGGAATGGATCCCTCCGGCAAAAGGGGTGGGGGGTGGGGTGTTAATGGCCCCGTAATAGATGTGTAAGTGGCTTGTGCAAGGTCTAATGACCTGCTGGAAAAAACTGATGCTCAAGAGTCTTCTGCTGAATGTTAGTGGGAGCGATACTTTTGAAGTGAAACTGAATGACAAGTAAGAATATGAACACGTCAATAAATGAATGAATGATTGAAAAATATCATAAATTACCAAAGGATGAATGAAGTGCGCATTTATGATGTGAATGAAAGAAGGAAGTCTATTTCAAACACGCACACACGTACACTGCTGAAATGAAATGCATGTTGGAATATTACAGCCAATGCACCGTGAAACAATCACTACGTGTTGCAGTCTTGTTAAACCACAGTTCATTCCCTCTATAGCAGCTCAATCATGGAAACAATCCCAGACTTGATGGGCTTGGTTGCAGAATTTGTCAAATGATTCCCTTGGAATTGCATTGCATGGCTATTACATGAAACTGCAGTTCCTGAACTTTTTAATGTAAAGGTCACATAAGGCAGACTTCATTTGGTAAACATTTTGTCTTAGGGACAGCTATTCAGGCTACAACTAACGATACTGATAAAAAAAAATCATCTCATTATTGATCTGTGCAAGAAACATTATTGATTAATATCCTTTTTTTTTTCAATTAACTGAGAAGATATTGGTCTAAATAAGAAAATGATCTAAAACGCCATTTTCTAAAACCCAAATGAACATGGAGGACTAATAAACCAGAAAACATTCACATTCAAAAAGTGGAGATTTGGGTTTTTTTCAATTTTACTTAAAACATTAAATTTGTTATTAATCAATAATCATTTTCTGTAAATCAACTAATCACAAATAGTTTCAGAAGCTATAATAATTTTGCTGTCATAGAGATATGTCAGTATGTATCATGTATATTTATTCCCACCTCCCAAATACCCTATCCCTTACAACTAAACAATAACAACAATTCTTTAGTTTACCATGGGAACACTGGAACTCCCTCCATGTCCCCATATCCATCTTAAATAGAAAGTAAACATCGCATAACTTTCTCCTTTCATTCCCCCGCCTAACCACCCTGGTTAACACAGCTAACCAGTAAGTTGCTGTCAAACTTTGTGCTGCATGGCAACAATAATAAACGTGACCTCGCATAGACTTTGGCTCTCTCATTCCTCTCTCTCATCTCTCTCGTCTCTCCGCAGCTACAAAGCAAACAAGCTGCACTTTGCATTTGAGCAGAAGATAGAGCGCCTATCTGATCAACAGTCTAGGAGGAGCGTTGTAAGAGGAAGAGAGCAGAGGGATGGAGAGAGAGACAGAGAAAGCCTGTTAAAAGTCATTGTGCCACTGCACAGCTGCATATGGTTCTTTAGAGCAGTGGGGCAGGTAAAATGAATCGGATGGAGACTTGAGTATGATGTCATTAAAAGGAATAAGGAGAGATACGTAGGAAAGAGACCAATTGGGAAATGTGAAAACTTTGAAAATATCCAATGGGTATGATGTTTCACATGTGATAAATTCATAAGCATTTTTGTAGGGAAATGGCATTTAAGTATAAGTGCTTATAGCTATCTTTGGTTTTTGATTGAGCTGTGGCAATAAAGTCACTGAAGTAAGTCAGAGGGATTCTCGTACATTTGCATTTCTGGGCCAGCACAGAGATATATAAGCCAAGTAAATGAGAGACAGTATGGAAGGAGAGAAAAACTGTTTATGTGTTTTAAGAAAAAAAATTCACCTGTCAAGGATAATTTCAGCAAAAAAAAAAAGTGAATGTGAATTTAAATGTAAATAAGAAAAATAGAGGAATAAATGGAACTTTATAGATCAAAGCAAAATAAGAAATGCAACTTTATAGATCAAGCAAGTAGAATGCAACTTTATAGACAAATGTAAATAGAATGGAACACATAAAGGATAATTCCATTGTATTAATTACATATATTGGGTGACATCTCCAACAGGCATGACCACTGATACAGACGATATCTGTTCAT